GTCTTTCCCTCAAGCCTGGGCAAAGAAACATCCCTAATCTCCCATCTTCCCAGAGGGCTCACTCCCCAGGCGCCTTCCACCTCAGTGGGCATGTCCCTACAGACCAAAGAGAAAGGGTGACCGGCCTGCCAACTTGGGAGTGGAGAATGTCCCAGGAGGCAGGAAGGGGCTGTCAAGACCCAGTGATGTAATCATTGGATTCTGATGTCCCAACTTGCTGCTGTCACCACCAAAGGCAATCATTTTCCCCTTGTAAATGCCCCTCCCCTCATCTGCCTTCATATTGAAGGTTCTAGATTTTTACTGTTTTTATTTTGTTATTTTTTTTCCTCCCTTTTTGCCCCCTTGTCCAGATTTTGTGTGTTGAAGGGTACCTGTTTCCACTCTCTCCTGTTGGGAACAAGGACCCATTGATATGTTCTAGAACAGTGCCTTGGAATGCCACAGCCCCAGACAGTTCCTTTCCCTTCCCTCCCCCCAAGTGACCCCAAGCTGTGTCCATAAGTGGAGGGGAGGGGGGTGAGGTTATAAAAGGGCAGGGGGGTGGTGGCATTCAACAGAGGCAGACGTCGGTGCTTGGAAGGGGGTTCTTAAATTATATTTAAAAAGAAACTTTTTTTGTATAAATAAAAGAAAATGGGATATGTCCCAGTACTGAGGGTGTTTGGCAGCTGGGATAGGCTAGATGTCTGAGAACAGGGGATCCCTAGGGGTCTGGATTTGGAGGGTCAGGTGAGGTGGTGGGACTGAGGTGTGGGGAGGTGCTGGGTGTTGGCTCCCAGCCCCAGGGTGTTCTGTTTGGGTTGGTGGGAGGTGAGTCATTGGCAGCTGGTGCTAACTGCTCCAGCTGCCCCTGCCAAGAGCCTCAGGCACCTCCGGGGTAGGGCTGCCACCTCCTGCCCCTCCTGTCTCCTCAGCCCTGGCAGGGGTTCTACCCTAGAGCTCCTTCAAAGGGAAGAGGGTCACAGGGGACAGTGGGAGGTCCAGCGAGGTGTCCACAGACTCAGGCCAGATGTCCACAGCTGGAGCTGTTTTAGTGGTCCCGGGAGCGCTGTGGGGGAGGGGAGGATGGGGAGTGGCTGAAAGGGGGCCTCACATGTGTGTACAGATGCCAGGGAGCTCTCAGGACAATTCCCCATTCAGGATGCTGCCCAGGCAGGTTTTCCTGGCCTCCCGGGGAGGGGAGGGGGAGCCGCTCTAGTGTGTCTGCTGCTAACTTCCCCTCCCAGACCGGAGGAGGATGAGGTCCATACCCCACTGCAGCCTCCACACCTCCCCCTGTAGTGTGTTCTCAGCTGCCCTTCTCCTGGGGAAGCCTTCCCCCTGGGACACCTGCAAGGGCAGGTCGCGACATGGCGAGTCTGACTGAGCTGTAGCCTTTTCCACAGCGGCTCCCAGTTGTGGAGGGATGCAGAGCCTCAGCACAGCGATCCCAAAGCCCTGTTCCTGCCCATGATTTCCCATGCTGCAGGCCTTTGTGGAGTCGTGTGTGTGTGTGTGTGTGTGTGTGTGTGTGTGTGTGTGTGTGTGTGT